AGACAGACAGACAGACAGACAGACAGACAGACAGACAGACAGACAGACAGACAGACAGACAGACAGACAGACAGACAGACAGACAGACAGAGAGGGGGTGGGGTGCGTGGAATCTGCGAGTGTTCGTGATGTCGTGTAAGAAGTCAAGGGTTTTTCTCCTCTGTTTCTCGCTCTACTCTCAATCTTACACAAACATATGCACACAAACAAGCACACAATACATTTACACAAACGCACACACACATACACACACACAGAGACACACACACAGAGACACAAACATGCACACTATCTACCTACTTTTCACTGCACCTTCAAATCATATAACTACACCTTATGCCTGTAGCCTGTTAGGTTTCAAGTAAATGATGATGTTGCAAGTGCCCTATAACTCTTACTAAAACTAAAAACTCATAATTTTCTGTTGTGAAGCAGTGTGGCTCTTTGCTGTCGCTTGCAGAACATCCAAATTTGATTTCCAAGACGAGAAATTTCCGTTGAATGTCTCGGTCTTTGTTCCTGGATATCGTATCCCTCACAGCCCAAGTTGGCCCTGACAGGTAGCCTGCCTTCTAACTTAAAAGATCTACATAGTGTTGATATTGGTGAAAAAACGCTCATGTGAAAAAAACAACCAACCAATCTTTGTTATATTAGATTTCGACAAAAAAGAAAAAGAAAACAAACATAATATTCACATTATAGTCTCACTTACGTCCTTGTTCCTCAACCGGCTGACGACATGTTCCAGTCCCAACACTAGCAGACCGGATGCCAAGCCAACGCCAGCCACTATGAACGTTCCCGCCAAACTGTACAAGTCCAGACCAGAGTTTCCTGCCTCTTTAGGACAACCCCCTTCGTTTCCTTCCCACCACTTGAGGCGTAGAGAGCCCAGGAGACGTTCAGTCTGTAGCTGTAGGATACTGAAACAAAGATAGAGCAATAATTGTTTATACGTCGTACTTTGTAAGTTCTTGGACAGAGCATCAGTTACGCTGGAGTCTTATTTTGTGTTTTGTCTTGGATAAAGAAATAATTATCGTAATACATCTTCCTTCGTTCGTCTTTGACAAAGCATTTATATTTACGTACGTTTTATTGTGTGTATATATATATATATGTGTGTGTGTGTGTGTGTGTGTGTGTGTGTGTGTGTGTACGTGTGTGTGTGTGTGTGTGTGTGTGTGTGTGTGTGTATGTGTGTGCTCTTGGACACAAAAATTATTATCTACGTGTTATTTTGTGAGTGTTATCTTGGACAATTGAATTACTGTTACACAAATTTTATTTTGTGTGGCCTTGGACAGAAAAAGGGGGCCCTTGTGGCCTAGAGGTCACGGTGTTTGCCTCTCATTCAGCAGGTCCCGGGTCCGGATCCGGATAGTAACAGAATATTTTTTTCTCTTAAATATTCTCCTTTCAAATCCTTTCCGAGTAAAGATCCCTTGGTGGCCCAAAATCGATAAGAGTAGGCTTCGGCAGCAACCCGAGCAAAATTCAAAATTTCCTACCAACTGAAAGTGTTTGGTGTGTCCCACGCGCTCATTTTGACCTTAGTTATGCAGCTGTCAGCGCCGGAAAACACTTACGAAAAACAAGGAAAGAGAACTTTTATTACTAATACATTCGTTATAGTATATGTTTTCTCTTGGACAAAAGAATTACTGTAACATACGTTTTATTTTGTGTGTTCTTGATCAGAGGATCTGTTACATACATCTTATTTTTGTTTTGTCTTAGACTGAGAAATTATTGTTTTTTATATATACGTCTAATTGTGTGTGTTGTCTTTGACAGAGATATTACTGGTACAGTCGCCTTATTTAGTGTGTGTTGTCTTGGACAGAGAAAAAGTTACATACTTCTCAATGTACGTGTTGTCGTGGACAAAGAAATTCTTGTTACGTAAATTTGTCTTATTTTGTGTGTGCTCTAGGACAGCTAAATTATTGTTACATCATACAATGTAATAGTCTATTTTGTGTGTTATCTTGGACAAGAAAAATTATTGTTATAATATATGTGTTATTTTATGTATTATCTTGGACAAGAGAAATTATTGTTATAATATATGTCTTATTTTGTGTGTTATCTTGTACACACATAACACAGTGGTATATGTTTACGATGCAATAATCATATCAAAGGGAACAGGAGAGAAGATGGGTTATTTTTGTTGTTAGTTGTTGGTGATGGTTGTTGGGGGGGAGGAGGGTGGTAAGAAGTTAGAATAGAATAGAATACTGATCAGGAATAAGACAGACTAAGACAAAACATTGATGAATATATCGCATATTTTCGCCCAAGATGCTATTACGAGTTCTCACCTCACTCCTTAAGTCATTTACCCAAATGATCAAATATGGACAAAAATGCAAAGCAAAAAAGAAGAAAACAATCCCACTAAATATAACACGACTTTTATGGGGGGGTTTTTCCCCACTCCCTAATACACAGATTAAACATTATGTTTTAGTAGAGGTTTTACGGCGTTCGCAACTAGCTGCATAAGGTCATATGAGCGCCAGAAGATTAGAGGTGTTACAAGAGAGTAACAAACATGAAAAAGAAGGAGAGGAGATAAGGACGATAGATGTTTGGTAGGAAAGAAGAAGCAAACCACACCAAAGCACCCGCCAACCACCCATATATATATATATATATATATATATATATATATATATATATATATATATATATATTATTGGCATTTATTTTAAATGTATGTCCAAGAATCCAAAACTATTGACCGAAGTGTGTGAAGTAATAGTTCCCCCATGGGTATGCTTCTTTTATCGAGTTTGCGTATCTTTTGTCTGGGATACTGTATCTCAGTACTCACTTTGTCCCGTACAGGCAGGGTCAAAGCAGGGTGCCTCTTTAAATGTACGAGTTGCTTTAATGAGGGCTCAAAATAGCACCACGGAATCAAACCAACTCTGAAGTTGTACTTTACTCTATAGTAAGGCATTTGATCCATTGTGCTCCTAAAAATCAAAGACATTTTTGCATTTAGGTAAGTATTCCTTTCTATTCCTATTCCTTATGTCTGTGCATTACAAAGAATAATATCGTGACTAATAGCTGATAAACAACATCCACCACAGGTTCGAAAGTTCACGTTAAATTGTCTTCATTGAAAGCAACAACGGAAGCCAAAGTTTGAATTAAAAAGTGACAGTTATGTAACAGTGCTAACTGAGTTAAACCGAAGCCAGTATTTTAGGGAGCATGTGGGTGATAACACCTTATGTTTCTTTTCCAAGCACTACAGAGGCCACAAATTGCACACGATATTCTTTATTGGTATTTTAGCTCTCAAGTTATTTTCATACATCTCAATTAATGCAGATCCTTTCAATCAAGCTTCCTTCCCTCCCACTCCCTATCCTGGCCATGGAAGGCTTTATATAGAGACATCGCTCAGGTCAGCGTACTCTTGGGAAATCACAAAACAAGTTGTTTATCAGACGTGGGGCGTGATTTCCCCGAGCACCAATTTTTTCTGGGATCGCCACAATTGTTTGGGGTGTGTGTCAAACTGGGGACTGTGAACTCTACGGGAAAGTGGAAATACAGAAGACAGTTTGAAAAGAAACCTTACCTTAAGCTACGATGGAAATGGTAATTGGAGTCAGCTGTTTGTGTGAGAGTTTAGTGTTTTCACTGTGTTGAAGGGCGGGTGATAGGGTTGGTTATTTATTTTTATTATTTTTGTTTGGTTGGGAAGGGAGTGGGGGGGGGGGGGGAAGTAGAAGTGGTGATATGATAGATGTGTGTGTTTCGTTTTCTTTTGCTTTCCCTTTTGTCCTTATTTGTTTTGACTTTTTTCTTCCTTTGGTTTGATTCTAGAAAGGAATGAATGCTTCGAGTACAATAAAAGTGGTTTCTTCACCAAATAAGAAAAAAAATCAAAGTCGCTATAATCTGGCAAAATAATACATAAAAGTATATAACTGAAAATAAGGGTACTTGGACCTGTATGGGTTACATTCTACTTTCAACAAGGTGAGGTCAAAGAAACAGGACACTTGAATTGTACGATCATTCCTGATAAGACCCTGCCTGATGGGTACAGAAACTTGAAACAATGTAGGTATTTTTAGGCCTCCATTGACACAGTTCAGATAAATTTTCTCCAGGCCAGCTTTGACCATGCCTGTCAGGATCAGCCTGGGCGGTGAAGAACAAAACGGCCAGGAAGAAAGACTAAAATACTCGATAAGAATTTTCCCCACATGAAAATCGAACTCAGATCTTCTACGTGGGACTGCAAAGTTCCTAACCACAACACCAAAACCTGGGAAGTCGCTAAGCAACCTGATTTTCAAAACTGCAATGAAGATTCGAACCAGCGTCAGCTACACTAGTGCCATCTACACCCTAGCCTAACATGTTATCATCTATAACAATGACGTGCCTAAAGGTTAAGACACATCCCTTTGCCTCTAAACATCATCGTCATTAAAATAATGCTATAATATTTTTTCCCGTCAACAAAAAAAAGACCTAGGCTTCAGGCAAAGCGTCGTAACGTATACTAGTATCGACTGAATGGAGACAGGTAAAAGAAATCTAATAAAAGGATATAAATTCATAAAATTAGAATTGTTAAATGCTCTAATATATTATATGAAGTAATATAAAGGAGCAAAGTAAAACCGAGAATAGAAACGGAGGGAGAATGTTTTGACCAGTCCACAGAGTGTGAACAGAAGGGGAATCTAATCTCCCTAATTTCATTTCCATCGGAAATGATAAAAATTATTCCTGTGCTGGAAACAACTCCATAGAATTGAATTGTCAGCTAATGAGATTATGAGCGAAAATAGAACAGGGTTTGAGAGGTGAAATGAGCTTATAGACTGTTTGTCGCCACCATGTTTGAGAGAGGAATTTCATAGAACATAAGCTTCTATGGGTGTGGTATGTAGAGAAGTTGGAACTTAAATGTTTTGTGAACACATGTTGCTATGGAAGTTGTTCTAAAAATAGAA